TCTCAAGTTAGAAAGAAAAAAAAAGGCGCCGCTTGTGAGAAAAGAAAGAAGAAAAAGAAGCAAAATAGATTAGGGATTTGCTAGGAACTAAACGACATAGTTTAAAGGTTAAGAACAAAAAATATGAAAAACAAAATAGGACTTGGACTAAACCCATACTATATTTTGACACAAAAGTTGCAACTTATTTGGTTTTTAGGCTTGTCGGATTTATGGTTATAGGTCTTAATATCAAAACTTAATTGAACAGTATTTTTATACTTTTTAGTTTTTTATTTACAATTTGTTCATTTTTAATTCATAAATGTAAAATATTTATAAATAAAGAGATACATTATTAATAACTAAATAAATGTAAAGCCGTTTGGAGTATGAAGAACCCTTATAATGACAAAAAATTATGAATATTATTTTTCTCATATAAATAAAAAAGTCAAAAAATTACTTTAAAAATTATTAAAAAAGTTTTATGATTATAATTATAATTAATATATTTTATAATAAATTGTATAAAATTAAAAAAAATTCATAACCGCGATGAACACAATGATCGTGATAGCAATCGTTATATCCACAACTGTAATAAATGCAACACAACTGAAAATGAGATCATTACTGTAATTTAAATCCCTACTCGACAGGACTAACCACTAGTCTCCACTACTTGTTCCGGGCATTCTGCCCAGGTCACAACTTGGTCTTGTCTGCCTCTTTTTTCTGCCTTACCAATATCCATATCTTGTGCTCTATCTAGCACCCATTTCCTTTTCCCTCCCTCCATACCAGTGTTTCACGTGTTGTTTTTTGTTGCACGAGCCAATTGTTTCCATCTCTTATTTTTCTCTTTGTTGAAACAACTATTTACGTTGCATGGGTTACTTGTACTCTTTCCTCCTTGAAACCTTCCCTTATTTCCACAATACTCTCACGTATCCCCTCCACCTTTTATGCACGGGCATTCACATTAATTTCTGAGATATCTTAAGAATAAGCCCTTGACAAATTGGGTGCGGCTTAGTGAAAATTGTTTCAAAAATATTCTTTACATTCAAAAGTCTTTGTTGTGCCAGGCCTTTGTCGCCCTTTGGGCTCACCGTCAATCCGTTGTCACCTCCCCCATTAATATTTGATCCCACATACAATATGATATCATCCAATTTTTGCTCCTTTTGCTGCTTTTGCTCAGGTACTACACGACCCCCTTTTCCAAGTGAGCTTCTCATGTCGTTCTTTGCTCTCCAAGTGATGATCTAAATCCCTTCCTCCCCGTATTCAAATTCCCATTTTCTCGCCCAAGAGTAAATCCTACTGTGTAATCCTTGCCATCTTCCTGGGATTCAGCCCGCTTTTCTCGTTCCGTATCTGACCTTTCTTCTGTGATACAATCCACTTCTAACCGCCACGCCGTCGTAGTACCACTGCCCGTCGCATTTCTTCCTTTCACTTGATCCATGTTTTTCCTCGAGGATTTTAAATCCAAGTTTGACTTATGTCCTCTGCCACTTCTTTCCCACATTGACTCCCTATGCTTTAGAGGCGAAGCCCTAAACCATGCCCCATATTGTTTGTCGCCTTCCTCTCCTTATTCCGTATGTGATCAATCCTCACATTCATCCTCAACATGACCCAACCGATCACATAAATAACAAAAACTTAGGAGTCTCTTGTAGCTTAATCTTCCACAGACCGGACTTTGATTTCCCCCCATGGCTATCAGAACAGCCCCACGTAAGGGTTTTGTAACATCTATTTTAACTATGAGTTTGAGAAATCTCGCCCATCCAACCTTCTTTAGAGCTGCATCTATCTCCTTTAAAACCCCAATCTTCATTCCAATTTTTGTTGCCTACTCATGGTTTCTCATTCCAAGAGGCAGGCCATACACCCTGATCCAGAAAAACTGCTCTGTCAAACTAATAATCATCCAGTCTCAATTCCCCATCGTACTCCTTGAAAAGGATTTGATGTTTGTCAAAAGACCAAGGTGCACCTTCCATCACTCTTGCCTTATCCGTTGTTGTAGCAAACTTAAATAGATCGCCTTCTAGATCTACAATTTTTGCTTGTTTTGGCAACCTCCATAGTAGTCTGATGGTCCCTTCATGGCTTCTTTGTTACAGGGCCTCTGTGTGAGTAGTCTTCCAATTAGCCATGGTCTGTCCTAAACTGTTTCAGTTTGTCTTTTGCCTCCCTCTAACACCACGTGATCTTCTTCCTCCTCTGTTAATTTTAGATTCCTCCATAAAGAATCTGTGACATCCTCCATATCGGCAGTGCCGATCGAAAACTATGACTGTTAACTAATATCTAAGATCCAGAAAAACTACAACTGCCCAACTGCTACCATAACAGAGAAAACTAAAGCTAAAAACTAAACAAACTAAAAACTCTCTCAGAGATAGACCATTACCATGACCATCCTGAGACCAACTACCTTGTATACGAAGACAAGACTACTACTCTCCCATAGACTAGAGAGACTTAAAACCCGCTTTTTGGATTACACTCTTTGATTAAAATAAATCTTATAACAAAATGGATTTAACTTTAGTTTCCTTTTATGCTCAATATAGTATTGTTGAAAATGAGAGAGCGAGTGCTTCCCGTCCATTGGAATGTTTTTTGGAAACTTGTTGAAAGGATGTTTTAAACCTTAATTTGATTAATAATTAAATAGTTTATTAATGTAATGAATTTAAAATACAATTGATTTTCCCTTTTTTTTTTTTTGAAAGATATGACTTTGTCAATTTGGCTTTCAAGATACTTGTTATTCTGTTGTCACACCGACTCATAATGATTCTAAGTTTAAGATTTTGTATATATAATTTTGGAATGCCAGTCTTCTATTCCAAGGCTTTGGTCCGATGGATAATAATTTAAAAAATGAAAATGGAGTAAGAAAAAAGCGAGCAGATGGGAAACATATATTTTTTCTCATTAATATGCTCAGTAGTAAACATGAAAATGTGAAGGAAAAAAATATATTTTTCTCCTTCATTATTTGTTAGAGTTGAAAAATATAATTAAAAAATTATATTATTTTATTATGATAAAATTTCATTTCATTTTATTTATTTTATTCTTCTTAAATTAAAAAAAGAAAATAAGCCGTGGAGTTTTAGCTTGGCCACCAAGTCCTTTTCTTTAGATTCATCTTTATTTTTCATTTCCAATTTTTAGATAAATATTTCATTTATTTTTTTAGTATTTAGTACATTTATTTTCATATTCTATTTTCGTAATCTTTTATGGATAAAAATTTCATAAAATTTACAAAAAAATTGAAGAAATGTAAATTAGTGTTATCTAACTTTTCTTGAATTTCTTTTTATTTATTTAATTTTTTCAAATAAAAAAGAAAATGAGCTACCGAGTATCAGTTTGGCAGTCAAGGATCCTATATTTTTCTTTCCATTTATTAATGTATTAATTTGAAGTCCTAAAATTATTTAGATTAATTTATATTTTTAAATTAATTAAAATATAATGTACTAGTTATTTGTTAATGAATTAATTTTATATATTTTTATAATTAAAACTGGAATAAATTAAATTTTAATTATTAAAATTAAGAGTTTAGCATTTCAGTAATATATAGTTTATTGGTGAATCAATTTTATATTTATAATAATTATGTTATTTCTAAAAAAATTGATACAATTGATATTAATATTAAAAAGTATTGAAATTCATAAAATATAAAATTTAAGAAAAAAATTATTTATATTAATTTATAAAAAAAGACCAAGTCTATTTGTACTAAGTTAATCATTGAAGTAATTGTCTTGATGTGAACATAATTTTTGTTTTTAATTTTGTTTTGGCAGGGTGCGGATGAGAAAAAAAAAGAATTTTGATGAAACATAACAAACATAAATTCCATTTTGTTGCAACAAATTTTGTGATAAAGAAATTTAATTTGAAATGATGCCAAATAGAATATAAAAAGTTGAAGTCCAATCTTTTGAGACAAATTACCTATATAAAGTTTTAGATTATAATAAATTCAGACAATGCAACAAAAAACCAATTAAATTTCATTTTATTGCTCCGTGTGGGGTCAGATACTTCTTAATTCAGCAACATTTCTTCTTAATTTACGCGTTTATTATCACGTCACTTTAAAATAATCTTTTCCAGAAAAAATCGTCAGGGCGATTCTACTGCACACAGGTTTTTAAATATTACTCATCCACTGCACATTAAGGGTTAACGTATATATGGGTCTCTTAACTACTTTTTTTTTTATGGTTTAATATTTATAAAAAAATTCATCCCCTACTCTTTAATTTAATGATTAAAATATTTAAAAAGATATTAAAAGTTTAATTTTGAATCAAATTTTTTTTTATTTATATTAAAATTTTACTCACTTGATATATAAAAAAAATTATTAATAAAAAATTCATAATTTAATATTTTAATTTTGTTTTCTTTAACTGTATTATATTATTATTATAATATAAAATAAAATGACGATCAATAAAAATATATGTCGTAACAAATTATAATATTAAATTATAAATTTTTTATAAATATCAAATCATAAAAAATAATATAATTAAATGATCAAAATGACAAACAGCTAATTTCTCGTAGGATTTGTAGAAAGACGTGACCCAGTCATTTTCTTGAAGTCCACTCGATTTCCAGGTAGTTGATGATCAAATAAATCGTCTAACCGTTTCTCGTCGTCTAACTTTTCTATTTGTATATTTTTTTAAAAAAAGAAAATTAGAAAATACTTTTTCTATTTCAATTTAGAGTCAACGAAAAAACATTCAACATAAAAAAAAATGTTACTACAGCCTAAAACATTCATTTTCAGATGATCTAACGGACTATTTTCATCAAAATCATTTGGTAGGTCCCACCAAACAAATACCATCCATTGATTTTAAATACTAACAAAAAGATAATGTTTACGGTAATGAAATGGTCCTTTCCTTGTTCTCAACGATAATTAATTATTATATATTTTATGCAGTACAATTTTCTTCCTTTTAGACTGACTTCAGACTTTTCTTCTCCTTCTCCCTCTTAACTCTTTTATTACACAGCAAAATGAAAACCCAAAGTAGGTCTCCTTGGATTTGTTTCTTTAGCTTCCTCCTTTGTAAAACTTTCCATATGAAGGGAATATTCTTCTCATAACCATTTTTTTGTCTTTTTGGTCCTTAGAATTTTGATTGGTTTTATGGGGAAATTTTCAAAGTTTGGTTCTTGTTGTGGGAAAATGTTGAAAAGTATGGATTTTCTGAGTTAAAAGGGAAGTAAAAGTTTTTTCCGGAGGGGAAAGATTGAAGCTTGTTAATCTTGTTGGTGTTAGCTGAAATGGGTGGAAGAAAAAAGAGAGGTTTGATAAATGTTGATGAAGTTGTGGACTTTTTCAACAATATCATAGTGGAGAAACCTTATCTCCCTTTGTTGATCCCTTTGATTTTGATCTTCTGGGCTATAGAGAAATGGTTTTTCTCTTTATCCAATTGGGTTCCTCTTGTTCTTGCCGTTTGGGCAACTATCCAGGCAAGTTCTTCTCTCATTGCTATTTTTTTTTTTTGATAAAATATGCATAGAATTAGTTGACACGGTGATGCTATTAGATTTTAAGTTTTCTCGTCTTCCTTCCTCCTCTAGTCCCGCCTAGTCAAACTTCTCTTCCCCACCTTCATATGGCCTGCTGGGATTTCTATTTTCAGCGTTCTAAAAATAATTACACTGTCTACATATTTGCAATTTGTTTTGATTTGTTTTGAAATCGCCAGTCAATGGTTCTAGCTGGAAGGAACATGGTGTGACAAGATTATATTTTGCAAGAGATATAGTTACTTACATAATGAGAAATTCATTTATTCTGGCACTTGATACACCACACGGGTCTTATCACTGCTGTTCTTTACCATGTCCAATATTTTTGCTTACTTTAAGCCTGTCCTTCTTTTAGTTGGATATTGAGATAGCTAGGCTTAGTCCTAATCCTCTTAATAGATCAGGAGCTAATAGGTGTTTGGAGATTCATTCAGCTATGAAGGTAGCATTAAAAGATTTAGGACAACTATGTAAGTCCAATTGCTGTTTGCCCTCTTCATCAGGATAGGTGCCAAACTTTCTCTTTTCATCAATATATATATATATATATATATATATTTTTTTTTTCCAGCGAAGATCTGTTGTTTCAAAAATTGGATTCCTAGGTAATGCTATAAATTGCCTGGTTTTCTCTAATGAGTTACTCTAAAGTCAAAATCTAAGCTCTTTAATTGTGATTGTGGCACATTCTTGTTACATTTTTCTTTTCGTCACTTTGGACTTGACTTGATACTAATAACTAGATTTTACATTTGAAAAGTATTTTCTAATATATAAAAATTTGAAAAAAAAAAGAAATACCTTAATATGTAGGAATTCACAATCTTCCCCTCCCCCCATCAACTGAGGGTGTTATAGCAATCAATATTGACGGTGACATAAGGTATTTCTCTTTAATTGCAGTATGGTAATTATCATCATCGAATGGTTGTTGAAGATTTGAATAAAAAGTGGAAGCGAGTTATACTAAGTACATCGGTACCTACTCTTTCCTTATTTTTCTACTGCTTACAAATGCATGTTATATCAGGTTAATCTTGTTCAATCACTTGGCTCTTTTAAACAGCCAATAACACCATTGGAGCACTGTGAGTGGCTAAACAAGCTTTTAATGGAGATATGGTCCAACTTCATGAATCCAAAGCTTTCATTAAGGTTTCAATCCATTGTTGAGGTGAGAATTGTGTATTATTTTCATTGGTTTTCAGTGTATGATTCTGCCTTGAATTTGTTTCTCCATATTTTGTTTGTCAATTTTGTGTATATTGAAAAAAAATTTGATTGATTCTTTCAAATGGTAATGATCCTTGTTGTCAGTCTTCTCTAGGTTACAAGGCTGGATGTTGTTAACTAATTTACTTGCTAAAGTTTTTGGCAATTGTTGTGAGGGCCTATGATCAAATCCCACCTTCTTCTTCTCCTTCTCCTTCCTTCCTATTTCTCCTAAGAAAAAAAAAAAAAAAAAAAAGAAAAACAACAAGAAGCAGCAGAAGAAGATAATGGCACTTATATTAGCATGTGGTGAAAATTTAGAAACTTCTTCAGCAGACTACACTCTAACTGAATTTTGGTGAATTTGATTTCAATCTGTTAATGAATTTAGTCTCATCACAGTTCCTGTTTTAAGTATGTATATCTTATTAAAAACTTTTGAGATCTTTGAACCAGAATTTCTTCTAGATTAACATATTGGACATTGGATGGCCTGCTCCGAAGACACCTTCACCTATAAAAAAAAATATGTATGTTTATATGAACTTGGAAATGCTTAAATTTGCATCCAAATCTCAGCTGTCAGTGGTTCCATTAATAGACAAATTGAATGTTCTTCTAGTGTTCTTTCTACCCTCTGTTACCTCTCTCCAGTTGGAAGGGAGCTTGACAATAGGCAAGACAAGAATTTCTGTCCCATCCCATCCTGCTCTAATAAGAGGGTGCTACATGCGACTATGCCAGAGCCATCGTCATAGTAGCCCTTTCACCTAAAACTATTATAATATGAGGTGGTTCTTGGGCCTTTAAAGGACCGTTAACATTCTTGTGGGACAATGATGTATTCATTGCCACCATTGATTTTATTAAAACAGTAATGCTGAAATGAATTGCGTTCCTTTTTGTTACCATTTTTTTTGGGTATTAATCATGTAGATGTAAACAAAGAAACATTCATGGAGTCTATTACACCAACTTACTGTAGTAGAAATGAATGTTGTTTTAATAAAGTGAGGTCCCCTAATCCTTGTGGAATTATTGAAAAACTATCATGATGTTTCTATCTATACCAAACATTAGTGTCTAGCATATCACATGGTATATATTAAGAATCCAACCAAAAACCACTTTGTAATACATAAAGAGGTCCAGGTGGAATGTAAGGCCCCAAGAAACCTCAAACTTAAATCTAAAACCAATTAATGCATATTATATTTGAAGAAATAGTCAGTTGTGCTTCTCTGAGGTAGCAATAGCCGTAATTATTTCTTAAACCAAAGAGAAATATGTGCAGACATTCTTTAACATCTTATTTCTTCATTAAATTACTAAGTGATTTTTCTTCCATGCAGAAACGCTTGAAACATCGCAAATCACGGCTTATTGTAAGTGATAATTTTCATTCTTTTTTTCTGGAAAAATGTTCTAGCTAACAGTTTGAGTCTTTTGATTGATGTTAATTGTATGCACTTGTTAACCAAGGAGACTATTCTTCATGTAGGAAAAATTAGAATTGTTGGAGTTTTCACTAGGTCCAACTCCACCTTGCTTGGGTCTTCATGGGACTCGCTGGTCAACTTCTGGTGATCAGGTTTGGATTCTGGTTTCACCTTTACAAATTTAATAATAACTTGTCGTCCAAGTTCATTTTCTTTTATTGTTCATTACTATGAAGAAATAAAGGGAGGTTGATATGAAAATACAGAGGCTTGGCTCTGTTTTTCAATAGCTAATGTTGAGCAATTAATTGTTCTATCAGGTTGATATTTGTCATCACTGTTTCCATTCTCTGTAAAGTTAATCATGTTTCTAGTATTTCAGTGCTTAATTTACAGTAGTTATGTTGTGAATTAAAGAATCAGTCAATGATGTTTTTAAAGAAACACTTTGCTGTTTGCGTCATCTGGTTTTAGACTTGTATTTTATCTGAATCAAACGAGAAACAGCTGGATGAATTATCAGCCATCACTCTGTTTTTTTTGTTCACTTTTGTTTTCTAAAATATTTTTTGAGGTGGGAAAGAAAGTGAGAGAAAACAAGCCTAAGAAGAAAGGACAGGAAAAGATAATACCATCACATTAAACTGAGTGGGGAGGGAACTCTAAACTGGAGAAACAAAAAAGAAGTATAAAGATACAAGTAAAATGAGATGTCTGAGGTAGGTAGATGAAGCTACTTTTACAGGGAACAACAGTGCCGCTTATAATCTAAAAGACAACAAGAAAAATGTTTTGAAAGTACAATTAAAGTGGAGTGAATGAGAGAAAAAAGAAAGAAAAATGTGAGTAAATGGGAGAGAAAAAGACCAACTGACTTTGTATTGTTTGAATTATGAAGGCAAGATGTGCTGTGCAGTTTGGTTACGTTAGATAGATGTCAAGGCAAGAATAAGAAAGAGAGATTTAATCATAGATAGTCAGTTGATGTTAAAGAAGTGGGATTTGTTTCTAAATAGTTAATTTGAGGTTAAGAATATGACAATGTGGTTTTCTTTTATACCAACCACTAGTAAAACTTTAAGGTGCTTTTTTCTTACCTCAGGTTAATCAAATATTTTTGTTTTCTGACTTCCACCTATATAAATGATTCTAGCTATATGATGGTATAGAGTGCCAAAGGTTTATCTTATGTTCTAGTGACGTAGGTTACCTATAATTGTTCTTCACTGATGGAAGGAGGCTGTGAGCCCTTTCCTTTTGATTGCTGGAATCACCAATCTGTTCTTCTGTGAAGATAACTGATAGGAGTTGCTCCAACTAGGTAATAAGGATTACTAATTCAACTATGGGTCATGACTAACATAAAGAAAATTGTAAAGGGTGTCAAATGGTCTTCCAAAGAAAAGAAACAATTTACACCTGGTTTATCTATGCTTTTAGAGTGGGACAAGGAAATATTTTACTGCGGTATTTGGTAATCTGTACCAACTCAGTTTGATACTAGATCTTGTTTTATACTTGATAGTATTGCTTTCTTGTAGTAGTTTGGTCTTTCTCTAATGGTGTATATTCTGCCGTCTGAGCAGTCAAATATATATAATCCTCAGAAAGAATCTCTTCTTCTTTTTGACAGCGAGTTATGCGCTTGGGTTTTGACTGGGACACAACAGACATCAGCATCATGTTGCTTGCCAAGGTGGCCAAACCATTTTTTGGAACTGCAAAGATTGTTATAAATAGCCTTCACATCAAGGGTGATGTACGTGGAACAGCTTCCTCTTGGCATCCCTTCTTTTTTTTTATTTATTTATTTTTTGGCCCTTTTATAGGACAATGAAATCTTATATAAAAAGTTGATCTATTTGATGGATTGATTTGTGGTTCTAATTTTAAAAGTCTTCTAATATGCAAAATTAAGGATTTTTTTTTTAAATTTTTTATGAAGGCTTCTGCTTTATTAATTAACTATGTTCATTTTTAACTGATTTTCCTTATTCCGTGTTTGTTTTGACTGTCTTGTTTATGACAAGTGATTGGACTTACTGTTTGATTTCCTTTTATTCGTTGTCCAAGTTACAGAATGGGAGGTGACTTCTATTATGTATGGTCAATTCTACTAAAGCTTTACATGTTTGTAATCAAATCATTGTTATGTCTTTAGAGCTTTGAAATATGCATCTTAAGTAATGGCAATTAAATTTTGATGATAAAAGATGAAGGAAACCACACATAAGTAATAAGAGTGCCAAAAAAAAAATCATTTTATTCATTCAAAAGTAGTATGTTCTTTTACTCATTTTTTTAGTTTCCTTTACTGTTGCTTCATACATCAAAAAGCTGTCATCCAATTCACTACCCTTATTTTAAAGTTGAATAGATCTACTATTCATGAGTTTTAAATGGTATTGACCCTCCACATGCCTAGATTTTGATCTACTGATATCTTAACTTAATTACTTTCTGCAGCTTCTCTTGATGCCTATTCTGGATGGGAAAGCAATTTTATACTCGTTTTTATCTACTCCTGAAGTAAGGTTAACAGTTGCCTTTGGCAGTGGGGGAAGCCAATCACTACCTGCAACAGAGCTGCCTGGTGTTTCTTCTTGGTTGGTATGTTTCTTTGATTTCTCTCTCATTGTTTTTTATTTTTGCAAGAGAGGATTAACTTAGAGAGCTACAATTTCTATAATAAAAAAAACGACATTGATGCTTCAAAACTAGATGTTATAAACCTAAAAGAGGAAAAAATTAGTTTCTTCTGATATGTTTTAGAATAATCAGTTAGTTCTATTTTGAATATTTTCACTTCCTCATCTGTACAAATAATGCTTCCATTTCAAATTGCTAGTCCTAACATTTTTCTCAGACTTATGCTCACTATGAGTCATAAATCCTTCGAATATATTGTTTCAAGACCATCAGATCATTCCAATAATTTAGCTCTTACTTTCCAGTAGTGGGCTAATTTTTACTTTCATTTTTCTTGATGCAGGTTAAACTTTTGAGTGACACCTTAGCTAAGACAATGGTTGAACCTCGCCGTCAATGTTTCTCATTACCAGCTGTAGATTTAAGGAAGAAGGCTGTTGGTGGTATTATTTATGTGACAGTCATTTCTGCAAGTAAACTTTCTAGGAGTAGCTTGAGAGGAAGCCTATCAAGAAGGCAACCAAGTTTTGCTGTAGATGGTTTACAAGAGTACTGTGAAGATCAAGATCTACAGACATTTGTTGAAGTTGAGTTAGGAGCATTAACCAGAAGAACAGATGTGAGGCCAGGCTCCAGCCCTCAATGGGATTCAACATTTAACATGGTTTTACACGACAATACTGGAACTGTTCGATTCCACCTGTATGAGCGTACTCCTGGCAGTGTGAAGTATGACTATCTAGCAAGTTGTGAGATTAAGGTACTGTCAGAATTGATGCTAATTTTACCAAAACTTCCAAAGGCAAAGGTTGATCTATGACTTTAGGTGGTTTCTGTATGGTGCAAGTGAAATGCATGCAACATATATTGGACCTTGGGACAGCTCTCGGGAATAAAATTTTCTCAATGTTACAGATGCCAGATACTTCTTTTGCTTTGATATGTTAACAAGTAGCTTAGTCGCATAATTCAATTTTAATAGGAGGTCTAGATTTGATAAGTAACCTGTAATTTTCTATTATGCTTATGGCTGGTTTTCCTGTTTTCAAGCTTCCAACTTTTGAAAAGCAACTGATGAATTTGCCAGAAGAACATTAATATATTCATCTGACAACCTTTTAATTTTCAAGACCTTTTTTATGATCATAATCTTTTGTGGCACTGGCAAGTTGATTTCCTTTTTCCCTGTTCCTTGAGCAGATGAAGTATGTTACAGATGATTCGACCACCTTTTGGGCAATAGGACCAGAGTCTGGTGTAATAGCCAGGCATTCTGAATTTTGTGGCAAAGAAGTCGAAATGGTTCTTCCATTTGAAGGGGTCAATGCAGGGGAGGTACAGTGTGATGTACTTTTCTGCTTCTTACTTTTCCTCGATAGACATAATTATTGTAAATGAAAGAAAGGGATGGGATTCGTAAGAAGAAATATTATGATGACGAGTTATGTTCTATTTAAGAGATGTTTGCTTATGTCATAAGTTAATTGTCTAATGGGGATATCTTGGATGCATTTTGGGTCCAGGAAATGATTGCCTGTTGCTTTGAAAACCTTGCTGGTTGAGGACTCAAATCCTACTATAATTGGCATCTTTGTGAATAAATCAGCCATAAATCTCTATACCTCTGGCTGACCAACTAAGATTTGCTACTGATAAATTTAACAAGGATGACGAAATTGTTGCATATGAAATATATCTCCTGAATCTTTGGTAAATCTTTTGTTTTTATTTTTCATTACCAAATAGTAATAGTTGAATAAATTAGTTTTCCGTTTCAGTTGGGATTTAGTTTGCTTTTCCACACTAATGATGCGGCTTGCCAACCAAGGGTTTGTTCTTGGTTTCAATTTTGAATGAATACTATAAATAGTTGATGTTTGAGGTATGTGTATGTGAATTTCTTTAGTAGAGAAGTAAAATAATGAAATGCATATTTGCTGACTACTGTTCTCTTGTCCATATACATTTAGCAGTTGGCAGTGAGGCTTGTGGTAAAAGAATGGCAATTTTCTGATGGTTCTCTTAGCTTCAACAACTTCGTTGTCAGTTCACAACCATCGCTGAATGGTTCGTCAAATTTCCTTTCAAGAACTGGAAGGAAAATTAATGTAACTGTTGTGGAAGGGAAGGATCTTATTACAAAAGACAAATCTGGAAAGTGTAACCCATATGTTAAGTTGCAGTATGGAAAGGTAGCTCTTAATGTTGCTGTTGAGGTTGCAAGTGTGATATTACACATAGACATAGTAGAATTAGTTATCCCTGATCTTTGCCATGTACCTTCTTTTCAGGTTCTCCAGAAAACAAAGACAGCACATTCTTTTAATCCAATTTGGAATCAGAAGTTTGAGTTTGATGAAATAGGAGGTGGTGAATACCTGAAGATAAAATGCTACACTGAAGAGGTCTTTGGAGATGACGGCATTGGTTGTGCACGTATAAGTCTTGAGGGACTGATAGAAGGGTCAGTGAGGGATGTGTGGGTCCCTCTTGAGAAAGTGAATTCCGGAGAACTAAGGATCCAGATAGAAGCAGTTAGCATCGATGGCTGTGAAGGATCAAGGGTAACTACTTATTAAGTGAAAGACCAATTCTTGTAATCTTTCTACTAGAGAAAAACAATAGTAGCGTTTCTAGTTCACATGTTCCTTTTCTAATTGCATAAAAATTTGCAGAACTTACAGAAAGGAGCATGGAAACAGGGTAGTTTGAATAGCTCTGGCCGTAAGAAACTTATGGGGAAAAATAATTAAAACAAAAAACTATAAATAATGTTTGAGATTTAGGTTTAATTGTCTGACTTACAGAAAGAAAACTATGAATACATGCATACATGTGTTTGATGAACGTGGTTTTGTGCATAAGTGAGAGCTGGGTAGCACTTTAAACTCACCTGTTTGGCGTGTCCGATGTAGTGTAACTCGATTGAGAAGCAAACTTACAATTTCTATTCTTACTAGTTGATTGTCTTCTATATCAAGTGTGCCTATGCTAATATGTGTTCCTCTTTTCTTTTTTCTTCAAGGGTTCTGCATATCCTGGCAATGGTTGGATTGAACTTGTGCTTGTTGAAGCAAGAGACTTAGTAGCCGCTGATCTAAGGGGGACAAGTGATCCATATGTGAGGGTGCAGTATGGAAACTTGAAGAGACGAACGAAGGTTTTGAGACAACATGATTTTGAAACAGTTGCATTGCACTTTTGCTCTGATAAAAAGAGTACTTGAATGATACATGTTTATTATATTTTTAATTTTACTTTTTCCTTTGTTTCTTTTGAATTGTATTCCCTTTTTGTGATTAATAATAACTACATGATCTTTCTCACCTCCTCACTTCCATCCTTCATCAAAACAGGCTGTATCTTTTCCCTTCTAAAACTTCTATTAAATAAAAAGTGTTTTCAGTAGCAATTGGCATGTTTATTGTTGTATATTATATATTATCCATATTCTGCAAATGAATTACTTAGATTATAGAACTCTTCTATTACCTTTCAATTTTTTCTGTTGTATCCTGCATGCTTCAATTGTTTTTACCTGTTCCATGGATTTTCCTTCAGGTTATGTACAAAACATTGAATCCTCGCTGGCATCAAACTTTGGAATTCCCTGATGATGGTAGTCCTTTAGAGTTGCATGTGAAAGACCACAATGCCTTGCTACCAACATCTAGCATAGGGGATTGTGTTGTAGAATATCAGAGACTGCCACCAAATGAGATGTCTGACAAGTGGATACCGCTTCAAGGGGTCAAAAGGGGAGAGATTCATGTTCAAGTTACGAGAAAAGTTCCAGAACTAGAGAAGAGACCTAGTCTGGACCCTGAACCATCTTTAACAAAAGCACGTCATATATCAAGCCAGGTGAAAACATGTTGTTGGTGTTTATTTACATGGCCCTTTATTATTCTATGCACTATGATTAAATTCCTTTTCAAAAATTACATGACTAATAAAATATGGTGGAAGTATTAGAAACTGCACTTTTTTTTATAAAATGAATTATGATCTGGCAAGTTCAACCTCAAGTTGTTTATATTTCTGTCAACACAGTATGTAAAGGCCGATTTTCACTGGGTTTTACTAAGCTGTTTGGACTTGGAAATATTACCACTATAAACTATAAACTAATTTTTATATGTTCAAATTGGATTATCAATGTTGGATTCTCCTAGTTTTCTTTTTTCTATATTGCTTGTTAATATAGAATGTAAGAATGGCCAACAGTCGTGTGGTCTGTTTGTAGAGTGTTGGACTATAGTGTTCAGGGATCAATTAAATCCCAGACATCTCAAGTACCAAAAAAATAGAATGTAAGAATGAAAAAGGAGAGATGAAATTTATTCCTCAGTTATTAAGGCATTTTTTTTTTTGTTCATCATTAATCACTGCTGAACTATGCTTGTGATAAGATCGAACAGTGTCAAACTCTGACATATTTTGTTTGATATGTGTTTGTACAGATGAAGCAAATGATGATCAAACTTCAATCTTTAATTGAGGATAGCAACCTTGAAGGAATCTCAACTCCATTGAGTGAACTAGAAACTCTTCAAGATATGCAAGAAGAATACATGGTACAGCTTGAAACTGAGCAGATGCTTCTACTCAACAAGATAAAGGAGCTTGGTGAGGAAATTATGAACTCATCACCTTCTCTAACCAGAAGACTTTCTCGAAGTTGAGGCAAATCTTTACTTTCTGAATTTACACGTTAAGATTATTTTTCTACCAATAAAGTTTTGCTTAGACAGAAAACCTTATAGGTAAGATCATGTATACCACACTTACCTAATAATCATCATAGAACATTCCAGCTCCCTTCTGTGTAGTTGTATATGGGTGCATAATCTATTTTTTGGCAGCAAATGAAGAATAGGCATCAAGCTTCATAGTACTTGCCCTCCTTTTGAATTTCTGTTGCTAAGCAATGTGGATCTATCTTCCTGTTTAGCAAGCATGCTACATGATGGACAGCTAACCAAGTCATTAGAAGATGTAATGGTGGGTGATTTTTCACCTCTGTGATGCTTATGAAGAAAGAAGAATCTCAATCGCAAGAACATTGCATCTTGATCTTTGTGTTTAGATGTTAAGACTGTCTTAGTGCTCTCCTTTTTTTTTTTTTTTTTAAACATTTCCTAGCTTGTAGATGCACTCGCAAGGTTTCAAGTAATTTTCGACCTATAAGTTTCCTTCTAAAACAGTGATGGATGCTGCTTTTTCATTGAGCAACTTACCATTGGGACTGAAGCATATTATTATATAATTGTTTCAATTAAGGTATGTATTGTTACTTACGATTTTGGCAGTCTAACAAGCATCTATGCTGCAAATATTGAATTCACCAAAGTTGTACGTTTGTGGAATGCATGTTTGAGCTGAAATCTGTAGGTGAACTCTGTGGTTATGCAACCATTGCAAATGGCTAATGCCTCTTCAAGTGGTTCAAATATGCAAATGGTAGCCGGGTTAAAGTCCTAAATAAATTTGATTAATTTAGGCTGCAAGTCATAAATTCCAATAATCATAATTTAATCCCTGATACCTCAAACCAAAAAAGTAGAAAGGGCATTTTTTTTTTAAGGCAAAAGCAATATGCACTAATAAGCAATACATAATCCATAACTAATGGGAAATTTTAATCACAGTGAATAATGCTTACATCCAAATATATGAAATAAAAGAGGTTAGAGGTTACAGCATCATCTATTAAATAAGTTGATATTGAATACTATAGAGATTTTTAATTAAAAATATACTTTAGAGATTTACTTGAAATTTTACATTTGCTTCCATGATACCATAAAATAAGATCAATTAGACATTATTAAAGGAAATAAAGAAAAATTTGGACTCCAGTGTTTGATAATACTTTTCTTTATAGTATTTGAAAGTTTTTTTTTTTTATATGAAAGTATTTGAAAGTTAAGTATACAATAAAAATATCGGTACAACTATATAAATTAATTTAAAACAAAGAGAGAGAGCAATATTTAGCCCAATTAGAAACAAAAAACAATGAAAGCCCAATGTACTAAAGTGAGCCCATCTCCATACCAAATATCCAAAATATCCTAAAAAAAAAACCGGGAGAACCTTATTCTTATCCATCCCCGCAACGGAAAACGGCTTTCTCCCACACTCTCGTCTCTCTCTGCAGCCAAAACAAAACATTGGATAACAACTTCCTGGATAACAAAACCAAGCCTTAGAATTTTACGGAAATGCCACTTAGGGCCTCACTCCCTTTCTCCTCTTACTCTTACCCTTACTCTTCTTCTCTCAACCTTTTCTTCTCTGCCTCTGCCCCCAAAGCCTCACCTTTCTCTTCTCTCCGCATCCGAAATAACCCAACCTCCTACTCCGACCGCTATTCTTACCCGTGGGACCACCAATCCTCCGTCGCCTCTACTTCACTGCAAGCCTGGCCCTTTCCTTCCGAAAATGTCATCCAATCGAACGGTAATAATAATAAGACGGATGTTGAAACGCGATATTTTGAAGGCCAAAGCGCAATCGAAAGAATCGTTCTTAGATTGCGAAACTTAGGGTTAGGATTAGATGACGAAGACGAAGACGAAGATGAAATGGACTATTATAAGTCGACACCGCTGACCGGAGAAGAGAGGTTAGGTGATTTATTGAAAAGAGAGTGGGTTCGGCCTGATACGATGCTGATAGAGAGAGAAAAGGACGAAGCTGTGCTGCCTTGGGAGCGAGAGGAGGCGGAGGTGGAGGTGGTGGAGGAGGGAGGTTTAGGATTGAAGAAGAGGAGGTTCAAGGCACCGACATTGGCGGAGCTGACGATTGAGGATGAGGAACTGAGAAGATTGAGGAGGATGGGGATGTATTTAAGGGAAAGAATCAATGTGCCCAAGGCGGGGATTACACATGCAGTTTTGGAGAAGATTCATGATAAATGGCGGAAGGAGGAGTTAGTTAGGCTTAAGTTTCATGAGTTTCTCGCAGCGGATATGAGGACTGCTCATGAGATTGTTGAGGTTGGTTCTTGCTTTTGTCACTGGAGATGTTAGATGGCTTTTGTGTTTTTGTTTTCGCCCCATATTTGAAATTATATTATTGGTTTGTATAGTATCCAATTTGTTCCTATTCATGCAAGTCTATGACTTAAGGATTTTTGGTAATCTTCAAATTAAGTTTATAGCTAAAATTTTCTTTTCAAAAAAGAAAAAAAAATGAATGATGTTATAATGGAGGTGACATAGTTATAATAAGATTTTGTTTTTTTATTGAGTAGATTGGTTGATACATTATGCCTTTTGGTATTACTTGGTGAATGGTGATAAGGGATGAAATATCATGAAAGCAATCTAATATATTAGTATTGACTTAGTTTTCATTCCATAAAGCATGAGATAGTAAGTTTAGTCTTTGAATTATTTTTCACGACAGTTTATGAAATGGATGTGTGAATTGCTCATTGGACATGATAAAGGAACTTGTCATAAAAGTAACATGCCATTTAGTCTTTGATGCCAAGTAGAGGATCAAATTGTTCATATCTTTGTGTAGATTTTGGTGTGACTAGGATATCTGTAGCCAAAATTTATAATTCCTTGCATTTGTGCTTTAATATGATGTCATGGCTCTGACTACCTATTACTACATAATATTCATGGCTTGAATTGATGGTCAGTGCCGTACAGGAGGATTAGTTATATGGAGATCTGGAAGTGTCATGGTGGTCTATCGTGGAAGTAACTATGAAGGTCCTTCTAGATCTCATTCTATTGATCGAGAAGGAGAAACTCTTTTTATCCCAGATGTTTCTTCTGCTAACAATGCAGTAAGGGGAAGTGAAACTGGCACAACTTCAACCCGAGAAAGGTGTGATCTGGTTGTGGTGAAGCCTGAACGTAGTGAAAGCATAAGTGAAGAGGAAGCTGAGTATAACAGCCTACTAGATGGTCTAGGGCCTCAGTTTGTTGAGTGGTGGGGTACAGGAGTACTTCCAGTTGATGCTGATTTACTTCCTCAAAAGATTCCTGGTTATAAAACACCTTTCAGGTTTCTTCCTGCTGGAATGAGACCACGGCTTACCAATGCAGAGATGACAAATTTACGGAAAATGGCTAAATTACTTCCTTGTCATTTTGCTCTGGGTATGTTCACTATTTCTCTCCATGATTTCTTACTTTACTTTGTCTGTTTGTGACATTAAATAAAGTTTTTCTATGTAAATATTCTTATAGGGAGGAATAGAAACCACCAGGGATTGGCAGCTGCAATAATTAAACTTTGGGAGCAAAGCCTTGTTGCAAAGATTGCTGTAAAACGAGGTATTCAGAATACTAATAACAAGCTTATGGCTGAGGAGCTTAAGGTATGTTCTTTTACAACTTAGAGGCTTTAGTAACATGAATTTAGTGTGTTCTTATTCTTCTGCCTAAAGTTTGTTTCTTAATCTAAGCCATTGCACAAACAGCAAAATGTTAAGTACCCTAGCAGGATGCAAAGCTATGAATCATTGCCCAAGCATAAATTTTTACTCTTAAGAATTATGCTTAAAAATTGTTTAGCATAATGCCATGTCTAAGGATAAAGCTAGTTTCTGTGGAAAAACTAAGAAATAAAATTGTGTGGAAAACTAAGAGTAAAATGTATAATGAAAAAGTGCTCATAAAGAATTATACAAGCACCTTAGGTTTATATACAACTAACTAGTGGGTAAACTAGGAAACTAAATCTTCCTAAAACTGATCCTATAATTGAGGGATTGTCTATCCTAATTTTTTGTTCTTACTTCTAGGGATATAAATATTTAATTCTAGAGATACAAATATAAATATACAGATTACAAGATTACAACCGCTGTAAATAAGTGTTTTCCCACACTCCCCCTCAAGCTGGTGAATAGGTGTTTTGCATTCCCAGCTCGGAAATAATTTTTTGAAATGTAGCACTATTGAGACCTTTAGTCAACACATTTGCAAGTTGACCCTTAGTTGATACATATGGTGTACAAATCAACCCACTGTCTAGTTTCTCCTTTATGAAATTCCGGTCTACTTCAATGTGCTTTGCTCTATCATTTTGCACAGGATTGTGTGTAATGCTTATTGTAGACTTGTTATCACAGTAGAGTCTCATTGGTCCATCCCACTTGATCTTCAAGTCTTCTAGGATAATCTTTAACCATAGTAGTTCACAAATTTTTTGAGCCATTGCTCTAAACTTTGCTTCGGCACTTGATCTTGCCACCACATTCTGTTTTTTACTCTTCTAAGTCACAAGATTACCACCTAGGAAAGTGCAATAGTTGAGGTGGATTTTCTATTAGTTACTGAACCTACATAATCAGTATCTGTATATGCCTCTAAAATCAGTCCCGAATTTCTTTTGAATAAGATACCTTTCCCAAGATTGACCTTCAAATAGTGCAATACACGATAGACAGCCTGTAAGTGTACTTCTTCAGGACTATGCATAAATTGACTTATCACACACAGTATATGCTATATCAGATCTAGTATGTGAGAGATAAATGAGTCTTCCAACTAATCTTTGGTACATCTCTTTATCTATAACAGTATCTTCATTAGCTTCTCCAAGCTTATGATTAGGATCTATAGGGGTATTTGCAGGTTATACATGCGAGCTTCCAGTTTCCTTCAGAAGGCCCATCATATATTTTTGTTGTGAGATGAAAATACTATACTGTGAGTGAGCTACTTCAATTCCTAGGAAGTATTTCAATCTCCCTAGCTCTTTTATCTCAAATTCTCTAGTCAAACACTGTTTTAGATATTCTTTCTCTTTTTCATCATCTTCAGTTGCAATTATATCATCAACATATACTAATAGAACTGTGACTCTCATTGAATCAGAGTGCTTGATAAACAATATGTGATCTCCTTGACTCTGCTTATATCCTATTGCTAGCATTACATTGGCAAATCTCCCGAACCAAGCCCTAGGAGACTTTTTAAGGGCATATAAAGCCCTTTTCAGCTTGCATACTTTGTTTGCTTTTAGATGACCTCCAAGTCCCAATGGAACCTTCATATATATTTCTTTTTCCAAATGACCATGTAGAAAAACATTCTTTACATCAAATTGTTGAAGCTGCTAGTTATAATTTGCAACCAATGATAACAAAATCCTAATTGTATTCATCTTGGCAACTGGAGCAAAAGTTTCTTGATAATCCACTCCATAAGTTTGAGTGTAGCCCTTAGCCACCAACTTGGCTTTATATCTTTCAACAGTGCCATCCGTCTTGTATTTTACAATAAAAACCCAATTGAATTTTTTCCTTTAGGCAACTTTACCAGTTCCCATGTCTTATTTTTCTCTGAGGCCTACATTTCTCTTTTCATGGCTTGCCTCCATTTCTCATTAGATAATGCCTCGGATAATATAGTTGGAACAGAAATAGTGTTTAGGCTTACAAAAAAATTTTTGTGGGATGGTGAGAATTTTTCAAATGACACAAAATTAGAGATTGGGTATAGTGGATGCTTAGTATATTCTCTGGTTTCTTTCCTAATAGCAATAGGCAGATCATAATCACTAGCTATAGTTTTAGGAGATTCATGCTTATTTTGAGAAACAGAGTCAAAAATTGTAATTATCTCATTTTCAGAGTTAGGATTAGGTTCTTGAACTTGCACTGGTTTAGGATCTGGAACTTTTCTTCTTGAGTACACCTGTAATTCCTTTATAGAATAAAGAACAATATTATCCTTTGTCACATCTTCTGTGTTTGGAATGGATTCAGACTTAAATTCAGTGTTTAACTTGGACTCAGAAGAAACAAGTTTCAACTTAGAAGAATTAATGGGTGAAAATGTTGAAAAGGAGGACAAATCAAGCAAAAGAAAGTTGTTATCCTTATCTTCCATGAACGAAGTCTCCCCCTAAAGGTAAGGTTGAATAAAAAATGGTTTACTTTATTCAAAAGTGATAAATGCAGACACATAGAATTTTCTGGTAGGAGGATGATAGCACTTATACCTTTTCTAAGTTGATGAATATCCCACAAAAATGCACTTAATTGCTCTAGGATCCAACTTCTTCCTATTGTGACTGTGAACATGAACAAATGATGTACAATCAAATATTCTAGGTGTGAGGTTCTTTGTGGTATTAAAGTTGGGATAGAATTGTGAGAGTAGTTCCATAGGAGTTTTAAATCCCAAAATCCTTAGAGATAACCTATTTATAATATGTGTGGCAATGAGAACAGCTTCCCTCCAATAGGATTTGGGTATGTTTGCTTGAAAAAGTAAAGCTTGGGTTATGGCTAGTAAATGACTGTTTTTCCATTTTGCCCCTCCATTCTGCTGTGAATGATTGTTTTTCCTTTTTGCCACTCCATTCTGCTGTGGAGTATTAACACAAGATAACTCATGGATAATCCTTTCCTTTTGAAAATAGGTAGATAAACTTTGGTTGAAATAGTCTTTTGTATTATCAGACCTAAATCTTTTGATTTTTACTCCAAATTGATTTTGGATCATGTTTTGGAAGCTTAAAAACACACTATTCATATCTGATTTGAATTTAAGTAAAAATATCCAAGAGACCATGGTACAATCGTTTATGAAAGAAACAAACCACCTTGCATAAAAAATATTAGAAATTGTAGAAGGACTCCACATGTCACTATGAATCAAGTAAAAAGGAGTAGAACTTCTTTTATTGCTAATTGGAAAAGACACACATCTATGCGTTGCAAGTTCACAAACATCACAATGAAAATTTTAGGCATTTAATCCTTTGAACAAAGAAGGAAACATGTTTTTCAAAGTTCCAAAAGAAGGATGTCTAAGACGAAAATGATAAAGCCAGATTTTTTCTTTATTGGGAGATTTTTTTGAAAGAAATGACAAAGGTAAACTATTCTTGATATTATTTGTGTTGCTTGATGTCTCAAGATAGTATGTCCTTCCTTCTCTTTAGCAAATCCAATACTCTTCCCCGAACTTTGGTCCTGAAATTCACAATAAGAGGGATAAAAAGTCACTTTGCAATTCATGTCTCTGATAAGTTTTTGTATAGATATTAGATTAGTAGACAATCCAAGAACCCGAAGAACATTTTTAAGAACAAACGAAGGATGAATTTGAGCATCTCCTATCCTACCACTATAGTAAGTGAACTATCTACAATAATAATTTTCTTATTACTAGGATACAAGGTATATATACTAAACTTCTATGAGGAATGTGTCATATGGCCTGTGGCTCCTGAGTCAATGACCCAAGAACTCGTAATAGGCTTAATTGAGACATTTAATCCATGAGAACTAGAAGCTTTACTTGAACTAGAGACCTTAGCCAAAGAACATATCCTAGTAGGCTTTTCGATGGTTTTAAATTGGCTTCTTAGTTTCTCAATCTCTTCTCTATCCAATTCTCTTTGTTCCCAAGACTTTTGTAGTACTTCGGTGGTTTTACCAATTGTCACTTCCTCAAATCGGGTAATAGTGGCAGATTTTGTTATCTTTGGTATGGTTATCTTTATTAGAACTAAAACGAGTCTTGATAACAAAGGTTTAACCAGAGATGATTCTAGGCAATGAAGGCCAAAGAGGGAAAAAATAAGACTGAAAGATTTAACAAGATTTGGCTATAAAGGCTTGAAATAGAATTCAGCAATGAAGGTTGAAAAAATTTTTTTCCCAAGAAGAGCCTGAATCTTTGATACTATGTTAAAAAACTAAGAAATAAAATTATGTGGAAAACTAAGATTAAAACTGAATGTATATAAAAAAACTGCTCATAAAGAATTATACAAGCACCTTAGGTTTATATACAACTAACTAGTGGGTAAACTAGGAAACTAAATCTTTTTGAAACTGATCCTATAATTGAGGGATTGTCTATCTTAATTTTTTGTCCTTAATTCTAGGGATACAAATACTTAATTCTAGAGATACAAATATAAATATACAGATTACAAGATTACAACCAACTATAAATAAATGTTTTCCCACAGTTTCAGTCCCCATAATGACAGCAGATTATTACTTTTATTTTTCTACCAATTGTTGGCAATCTTTTGGCTGCCACGCAGCTTTACCTGATTCTTGCTATAGGTGAAAAGTTGACTGGTTCCTTCCATGCTCAACCCAGTTCAATTAAGATTAAATCCCAAACTTTTTGGGAGGTTTGACTACAACAATTCTTTTTCTATTTATGCTTGATCAAAGGCTATATACTTAGTATGACTCAATATAAAAGGTCTGTTGCTATGATTTCTACCATATGATCTTCCTCTACCTCTCACTAGTCCTTCTCAAACTGAACCATTTTTATGTCAAATCTCTTTCAACTGAGCCTGCCAAACAAATTGATTATTCTATGATACTCTTTACAGGAGAATTTAGATTATTTCTCTTGAGGTTATTTCTATTTTATTGTGGCCAAGAAGGCTTCAGGAGCACCTGAATGTCTACAACATGCAGTCAGTTGAGTAGGAATATAACACAATCAACTTGGTCAAAATAGCAACTCATGGAACAAACTAATGGTTTTGTTCATGTAAACCAAACCTCATTTAATTTGAAGATGTTAGAAACTTATATTAATTTATGAGCAATGCACATACATGCAAGGTAGCAATTATTAGTTAATTTGATGAAATGTAACAAAGATGCATAATAATCTCATTCTGATGGAAAATGAGACTAATGGATGGAAAGTTAAACTTGAATGTTGAGGGACACACACTGCTTAAAGTAGCATTATAACTTTGGTCCAAGATTATAAAAACAGCATTTACCACCACAACTGTGTCATAACTCTCCTGCATGACATTTTTCCAAGTATTTCTTTGTATTCTTCATCGTTTAAGATATGTTGCACTTTCAAAAGGAGACAGAAGAATATTACACTCATTCATACAAGCAATTTTGCAGAACTTAACTGGAGGTGTTTTGCTGCTCAGAAACAAGTATTTTATTGTCATATACCGCGGAAAAGATTTCCTTCCAACAAGTGTTGCTGCTGCTCTAGCAGAAAGACAGGAGTTGACAAAACAGATTCAAGATGTTGAGGAGAAAGTGCGGATCAGAGCAGTTGAGCCAGCTCAATCAGGTCAAGATAAAGGACTGGCACTGGCAGGTACTTTGGCTGAGTTTTATGAAGCTCAAGCCCGCTGGGGAAGAGATATAACTGCTGAAGAACGTGAAAAGATGATTGAAGAAGCTTCCAAAGCTAAGCATGCTAGACTTGTAAAACGCATCGAACATAAAGTGGCTGTTGTAAGTATAATATGTATACCCTGATGGTTGAGATGAAAATTTTCACAAAAGAATTGGCATTTTTTAAACTATTCACTATTGTTGTTATTTTAAACCATTGGAAAATTAACCATGGAACGTTCTTTTACTGTATAAGCATGTTTAGCTTCTTGGCAAGGCTAATACTATGCTCTCTCTTGTATGCCAAATAAGCTTGATTTTATTTACCTTTTTGAAGATCTGAAACCGGCTGCTATTTTTGGTCCTCAGTTTACTATTAATTTTTTTTTTTTTTAAATTTAGTTTCCAGCTTAGTGGATCTTGGTTGTTCCTATATGCTATAAACTTTTCCATGGTTGTATCTTCTCTGAGTTCACAGTTTGTTTTAGTTATTTTACTTATTTGTTTATTGATGTTAATTGAATGCTTGAATGCACAAACAGGCCCAAGCCAAAAAGCTTAGAGCAGAGAGGTTATTAGCTAAAATAGAAGCCTCCATGATCCCTGCTGCTCCTGATTATGACCGAGAAATAATCACTGATGAGGAACAAGTTATGTTTCGCAGAGTTGGTTTAAGAATGATACCATACTTACCTCTTGGTGTGTAATCTTTTCGTTTTGTGATTGAAATTTGAATTCAGGGTTAAAATGCTGATGGTTTTATAATGATATACCAGGTATTCGTGGTGTTTTTGATGGTGTCATTGAGAATATGCATCTGCATTGGAAGCACAGAGAACTTGTGAAGCTAATAACCAAACAAAAGACCCTTGCATTTGTTGAAGATACAGCAAGGCTGTTGGAGTATGAGAGTGGTGGGATACTGGTGGCAATAGAAAGGGTCCTCAAAGGATATGTTCTTATTTACTATCGTGGAAAGAATTATCGTCAGCCCCTTAGCCTAAGGCCAAAAAACCTTCTAACAAAATCAAAGGCATTGAAGCGCTCAGTTGCAATGCAACGCCATGAGGTTTGATCTCTTACATTCTGATTTTATTGTTGTACTTATAACAATGGTTCCATATTACTGTTTTGTCTTACATCATACTATTTGCAGGCTCTAAGTCAGCATATTTCTGAACTGGAGAAAACCATAGAGCAAATGAAAAAGGAAATTGTAAGTGTTCCTTTTCCTCTCTATAGTCAATTCTTAAGTCCATGGATTTAAATTGTGGTTATGGCTGCATTTTCGATCGCGTCGTTTTAATTGAGATTGTGGATATAAAAGAGATTATTGTGATCATTATGATTGTGAATTTTTTTAATTTTGTACAACTTGTTATAAAATATAATAGTTATAATTATAATTATAAAAATACTTATTTTATAATTTTTAAAGTAATTTATGATATTTTAATTCTTTTATTTATAAGTCAAAATATTTTATTCACATTTTGTAGTTATAATTTAGAATTAATATAAATATTAAAATACTTTTCATTAATATACCCATGAAGTTCATTGACATAAATACTATAAATACATAACATGGAAAAAATATCTATGAAGTTAACATCATAATTTAATTTAATTAAAAAAATTATGATGAACATTTTAATTATTTTTTTATAACGCATGATTATTGATGGAAGATGATTAAAACCTAACTTTTTGAGCATGGATAAATATACTTTACCATTAGATCAAATATTCAAATAAAATAATTAAAATAACTAATTAAACCAAAATAGTATAATAATTAGTAATTTAATATTTATCAACTCATAAAAAATACAATTAATAATATCACAATTATCGAAATTATATAAAAAATTACTTATTATTTTTAAATAATTATACATGGCTACGAGCATAAAAATACAAAAAAAATTAAATTCACTAAGTAACAACTCACATTTCCTTTTAAACTTTTAACTAAATTATTAAAAAAATTTTAAAGTATTCATTTTTTCGTTGATCATTTGCTTTTTCCTCTCAAATTTTCACCTAAACAAGAAAAAAAGAGAAGCAAAATATAAGTTTAGGTTTTAGAAGCCACATGTGAGTAGTACCCCAAGCCTTCAAATTCGCACCTAAATTTTATGGTAGAAAAGCAAAAAAAAATAAAAAATAAAAAATCTATTATTGGTTCGGCTAAACCAAAACCAACCAAACCTCTGCCACTTTATTCTCAAAATTTACACTTTGTTTCTCCTTTAGTCTAACTCAATTTCTCTTTCTCTTAAATTCCATCAGCGGCAGACCTCCCTCACTCATCACCCACACCTCTTATGTCTCCTAATCTCTTCTATGTTCCTCTCACACTGTCTTTGCTTTCTTCCTCAACCCAAGCAGCTACCCACACCATTACTGAACACAATCTTGACGGTTATGATAATGTTTTGCTTCCTCTCAACTCTCAGGATCGTAGAAATTTGCAGAAATAAAGTTGTTAAATTTGCAGAAATTTATGGACTTTATGGACTCTTAGTGTTCAACAAGATCCCTGCTTGAGTCTTAAACTTTATGCTAGATGTATGTGCCTACCTAACATAAAAGTGATTCTTAGCAAGTGTTATGGACTTGAAACCATTATTCTTGGGCACCAGAAATTTATATCTTGATTTTAGATCTTTTTCCTTGCATGACACATTTCTATAATAGTTGAAACCAAACTGGCTATATAAACTTTAGTTCCACTGAATTGAACACTGAGGTTACTCATAGTTCAGTTGTCTTGTACACCTGTCATTAAAGTTTTTGTTTTAGGAGTTCTGCCCATCATAGTCAAAACTCCAATGAATGAGATTTAAATTTCATTACTGGAGATCAGAGAAGGGTACGAACTATATCGTTGAACTAGTTAAAGGCTCACGATACATTGCTGGATTTGAACATAATACTGTAATAAAATAAGATCATAGTAACATACAAAACTTGAGTTCCAAAGGGTGCAATGTTTAAGATAAAACATAGATATTTAATCAATCTTTAAAAAAAGGGCAAGATTAATCAGATAATTCTTCATAGTGGAAGAAATGATTTTTAAATATTATTCAATGAATCAGTTTGAAAATGCAGCTTTCATTCCTTTTTAAGCAGTTGTATACTGCAAGGGAATATGCCTTGTAGTTAACCTTCACATAAAAATAAATATTAACAAGGAAAGAATAATAAAGGATACTAATTTTTTCTTTGTAAATGTTGAAACCTTTGAAACTGTGCTTGTCAAAAGATGAGTTGTGAATAGAAAAAAAAAAGCTTTGACTCAAACAAATGAAGATTGAAGGTTAAAATAATGCAAGTAAACTAAGCAAAAGAAAAAGTTAGAAAAATGGGGGAATATAAGCAAAAAGGAATGAAGAAAGAATGTAAAATAAAATCACCTCTAAGCAAACGTAACCATTGGTGGCAAGCAACGCTACATGGGTGGATTTATAAAGTAAACAACCAAGGGTAAATGTTGACTCATTTGCTTCCAATGAGCTAATTCCTTCCTCAATAAGGCATAATCCTTCCCAAGTAACCAAAGGCATGACTTCTCTCCCTTCCCTCCTAAGCAACCAACTTTTTTCCTTCATAATTCATGATCCGTCCCAAGCAATGAAAATGCCATGCAAATCATTTGTATTTAATGTCAGAATCACTTCTTTTATGGGAAAAATTTATCTTGAAGTAATCAAGTCTCTTCCTCTATAAGAAAATTTCCTTTGCACTCGATTAAAAAACTTATGGATGAAAATGCTTAAGCATATAAAAGGGATACTTGACTCCTTGATTAACCGTACACTTAAATTTTTTCTCCATCACTTATTTCCCTCTCTTCCTTTATAAGGAACAAAATAACGTAACACTATTAGGGCATGTGGCTCTTAAAAGGGGAAATTAACTCCCCTTTATTATAGCAAGCAAAATGAAGAAATCTCTAGAATAAAATTATTTTATTTTTCTATATTTTTATTATTACAATGCTAGAATTGCATGAAAATATATAGGCTAACAACTGAATATTCTCAGCCTTAAAATCAAAGATTTTCATGCATTAAAACAGCTAATCAAAGGAGTAATTTACTTTCTACACATAAGAAAATATCTAATAGATTTGGTGTAATTACCCAAATCACTCCTTATTCTAAAAATAAGAGACTTAACTAAAATATATAAAGTCAACTAATCAAGTAATAAGGAGGTTTAGATTTTCACACTCTCTTTCAAGCTGGGTGGTAGATGTCAATCATGCCCAGCTTGGACTTCAGATTCTCGAAGTTGTTTTGAGAGAGAACCTTAGTGAGTATGTTTGTAGTTTGGAGGTATGTGGGAGTATAAACTAATCTAACAGTTCCTTCCTTTATCTTTTCTTTGATGAAATGATGATCAATCTCCGCATGTTTAATCTTATCATGATGAACATGATTCTTTGCCATACGTATGGTAGCTTTGTTGTCACAAAATATCTTCATGGATTCTTCTGTAGAGACCTTTAACTCCCCTAGCAATCTTTTCAGCCAAATTCCCTCACTATGTCATGAGACATAGCTCTAAACTCAGTTTCCACACTACTTTTAGCCACCACAGATTGTTTCTTGCTTTGCCAAGTAACCAAATTTTCCCACACATAGGTGCAATAACTAGTAGTTGATCTTCGATCAGTAACGGATCCAGCCCAATCAATATCAATGTAAATTTCAATATTTTGATATGATGTTTTCTTAAAAAATAACCCTTTGCCATGACTCTTCTTTAGGTACTGTAACATTCGATACACAACCCTCAAGTGTTTCTTGGTTGGATTGTTCGTGAATTTGCTTATCAGGCTAACTAAAAAACCGATATCTAGTCTTGTATGAGAGAGGTAGATGAGTTTCCCAACAAGTCTTTGATATCTGCTCTTATTTGTTGGTGGACTTCCTTCTTCCATTTCTACCTTATTCGTTGTGTCCATAGGGTTGTCAACAGGTTTGCATCCAAGCATTCCGGTTTCCTTTAGTAAGTCTATGACATGTTTACGCTATGAAACAAAAAAGCCATTCCTTGAGCGAGCTACCTCAATGCCAAGAAAATATTTGAGGTATTCCAAATCTTTGTTTTCAAATTCTTTGGCTAGGAGGTTTTTTAGGTTGCTAATTTCTTCCACATATTCTACAGTAAAAATAATGTCATTGACATAGACAATAAGAATGACTATTTTTACTTCAGGGGAATGTGACAAACATGGTGTGGTCAGTCTAGCATTGTGAAAAACCATACTTCTTTACCACTTTTGTTAGTCTATCAACCCATGCACGTGGGGATTGTTTGAGAGCATATAAAGACTTTTGAAGCTTACATACCTTGCCAAAATTGTCTTGGTTTTTGAATCCTAGAGGGATTTTCATGTAAACTTCTTCTTCTAAGTCGCCATTAAGAAATGCATTTTTGACATCTAGTTGGTGGAGTGGCCAATCTAGATTTGTTGCCAATAATAATAATGCCCGGATTGAATTAAGTTTAGCAACTGGGGAAAATGTTTCCTCATAGTCAACACCATAAGATTGAGTAAATCCTTTTGCAGTAAGGTGAGCTTTGAATCTATTAATACTTCCATCTGCATTGTGCTTGATCGTAAAAATCCATTTGCACCCAACTAGATTTTTCCCTTTGGGTAATTTTGAAATCTCCCATGTTTTGTTCTTTTCTAAGGCCTTGATTTCTTCCAGAACAGCCATATTCCATTTTGGTGGCATGAGTGCTTTATGAATATTATTGGGAATCTGCATATTGTTTAGTGTGGTAACAAAAGCCCAATAACTAGGTGATAAACCTTCATAAGAAACCTCATTACAAATTGGGTGTTGAGGACATGATCTCGCACCTTTCTTTAGAGCAATCGGTTGATCAAGATAATCAAAAGATTTAATTGAATCAGATTTAGTAAGAGTGTTACTTGTGTTGGTTTCAAGTATTTCGAGAATCGGTTTAGATTCTTGGTTTTGCTTTGAAGGTGTACATTTTCCTAGATCTTTTTGAGTGATATGTCTTCTTGAATAGACAATCAATTCTTTGTTTGTTTTCCCTTCTGTGGATTTCGGGCTTAGAGGATTGGCTTGGATGTTTTGAACTTGAAAAAGAGTTGGAGGATCTAGTTGGATGTTTTGGATGTGAAAGGGAATTTGAGAAGTGTTTGGTGGTCGGTAATAGGATCTTCCCAAAGTTGATATTCCTGTGTAATTGGATTCTCCCCCTGAATGGTGATTTTAGGAAAGTAAGATTGATTTTAAAAAAACGTAACATTTATGGAATGGTACAATTTCTTTGTTATTGGTGAGTAACACTTGTATCCTTTTTTATTTGAGGAGTATATGAGAAATATGCATTTGATGGATTTGAGATCTAATTTGCTTTGGTTTTGTTGGCTGGTAAGAACAAATGCAGTGCATTCAAACACTTTAATGGGAATAGACAAGATGATTCGAAGGTGAGGATAGGAACCGAGAGGGATTGGTAAGCGTTTTGAAATTTCAAGACTTGAGAAGACATTCTGCTTATAAGATATGTAGCGGTAAGAATAGCCTCACCACAAAAATGCTTAGGTACATGGGCAGTCATCATGAGGGATCTTGCAACTTCCAACAAATGTCGATTCTTTTTTTCAGCAACGCCATTCTGTTGAGGAGTGTCGACACATGAGTTTTGATAAATTATACCATGCTTCACTAGATATGATCTAAGAATTGAATTGTAGTATTCTCTCTCATTGTCGGTTCTCAACATTTGGATTTTGGTTTTAAATTGAGTTTGGATCATATTATTGAAGTTTTGGAATAGCTGGCCCACTTTTGATTTTTCCTTCATAAGGAATACCCAAGTAACCCTGGTGTGATCATCATTAAATATGACAAATCATCTGGAGCCAATAATGTTATTTGCTTTGGAACAGCCCTAAATGTTATTGTGTATCATTGAAAATGGATGCGATGATTTGTAAGACTGATTAGGATATGTGGTATGAGTATGCTTGGATAGTTGGCAGATTTCACACTGAAAGTTGTTAGGATTTTGATTGAATAATGAAGAAAACAACCTTTTGAGGTATAAAAAATTTGGATGACCTAACCGATTGTGCCATTACATGATAGTATTTATCTTTATTATTATTGAAGGATGAAGCCACACAAAAAGTCTTTTGATATTGTTTTTCAGAATCATTAGCTTTTAGGATATAGAGTCTTGCACATATCTTAGCATTGCCAATCAATTTCCCCGAGTTCAAATCCTGAAATTTACATATATTTGGAAGAAATTTAGTAACACACTTAAGGTCTCTTGTAAGTTTTCTTATAGACAGTAGATTGCAACCTAGATTTGGGACAAACATAACAGAATCAAGTGTTATCTCTTTAAAAATAATAACATAACCTGTACTAATTACTTTTGAAAGTGAACCATCAGCAATTCGAATTGTGAAGTTTATATGACATGGGTTGTAGTTACTAAATACAGATGCATCCCCAATCATATAGTTTGAAGCTTTTGAATCCACAATCCATGAATTTGATTTCTCTAGTTTTACATTTAAGGCATTTAGAAAATTACCTTTTTTGCTAAAGAACCTATTCGAATAGAAGTGGTAATGTGCTGTAATGATTGGGAAACACTAGCTTTGGGGTTAGAGGTAACCCCCAACACGAGACTCTCCTTTTTGTTGGCCATACTGGACTCCGAGTGAAAATTTTCAAAGGTTTAAATCGTGTGTTGATACCATGAAGAAATCTCTAGAATAAAACTATTTTATTCTTCTATATTTTCTCATTACAATGCTAGAATTGTATGAAAATATATAGGTTAGAGACTAAATATTCTCAACATTAAAACAGAAGATTTTCATGTATTAAAACAGTTAATCAAAGGAGTAAATTTACTCTCTACATATAATAGGAAAATATCTAATGGATTTGTGTAATTACCCAAATCACTCCCTATTCTAAAAATAAGAGACTTAACTAAATTAGATAAAGTCAACTAATCAAGTAATAAGGAAGATTAGATTTTCACACAAAAGATTTTTTGGAAGAACTTTTTAGACATTTTAATCTACTGAAGATTTTACTTGATAATCAAGTCTACTTGGTGGACAAGTTAGTGTGGTTTTATATAAAAGGGAGTCTCAATACGATTAGATATGAAAGAAAAATGTAAATAGAGTTGTAGGGTTTTAAAAGTTTGGGTGTCTACACACCTCATGGGACTAAGGGAGAGTGCCCATGGGTGAATGGTTTGGGTTTGGTGAGTGTTTTGGGATTGTTTTTAAGTTTGTGAGGAGTTTATTCCCTTTTTAAGAGCCACACGTCAAACTCTAATGTTTTTCACATTTGTGATATTTATAGAGTAAAAAGAGGGAAATAGGTAATGGAATAAAAGAATTTGCTGGATGAGGGTGTGTAGGTTACTAAGGAGTCAAGTAACCATTTGTCATGCTCGAGCATCTTCATCGATAAATTTTCTAAATTGATTGTAACTGACTTGATTGCTTAAAGATGAACTTTTCTTAGTCAACAAGTTATTTCTTCATTGAATGCTAATGACTTGAAAGATGGTCGGGTTGCTTGGAAAGGATGATAGCCTATGGAGGAAGGAGCTAGCTTAGAGAGAAGTCTTGCTTCTTAAGCAAGCCCTTAAGATTTTGAATGCAAAAATGCTTCAGGGACCTTTTGCTTACATAAGGGTATTATATCTTATTGGGAAAGGAATTAATCTATCAGAAGTAAATGACTTAAGAGTTGCCTTTGGTTGTTCACTTTTATAATTCTCATGTAGCTTTGCTTTCCATCAACGGCCACATTGGCTAGTTTCTTTTACGTTCTTTTTTCATGCTTTTATGCTTACTATTTCCGAACCTTTTAAACTTTCCTTGGTTCGGGTCAAAGCCTTGATGCCTTTATTTGCCATTCATAGTTTTGATCTCTAAGGCTTTGTTTAGATGACTGGTGGGAAGGGATTTTTAAGCATCGAAGCCTCAAGACAGCATTGGACACTTATGGGTCCAATGATGAAATGACTCATTGGCACTCTTGGAAAGCACATCCAAAGCCTATTTTCCTATAGTTAAGAATTTGAATTAAGACAAAAAAAAAGAAAAAAAAGCTAATTTTATATTTGAATTTATTTCTATCACGACAAGAAATCAAAACAAATCGAAATCTTACACATTACAAGGTCAAAATCCATTCTTCTTACAGAACACGAGAACATCAAATCTGCAATAATCATACCTACCAATAAGCAATAGCTTGCTCAACAATTTTGTTATTTTTTTGAATTAAGAATGAAACTTATTAAAGCTTCCCCCATTCACATCATCTTGCTACTTTTAGATAAGAACATATGCCAAAGATAGACATAATTCTCTCTTAAGAAAGAATAATAAAGTTACTGATTTTTCTTTGCAAATGTTTAACCATTTGAAACACTTGTGAAAAAGATGAGCCATGAAATAGCAAAAAAAATCAAGGTTTTGATTCTAACCAATTAAAATTGAAGAGTTAAAACAATATCAGTAGACTAACTAAGCAAGAGAACAAGTTAAAAAGGTGGGGAAATAGCAACCATAAAGTCATGAGGAAAGAATGTTAAAAAAACTCAATAATACGTGAATGCAGCAGCATTGGTGGCAAACAACGTTACTAAGGAGGATTTATAAAGTGAACAACCAAAGCAAATGTTGACTCATTTACTTCCAATGAGCTAATTCTTTCATAAATAAGATGTGATCCTTCTTAAGTAACCGAAGGACAGCTCGAGCTTTTTGCATTCAACGTGTTAAAACTTTCTCGAAGAAGACTCTCCCTCCAAAGCAACGAACTTCTTCCTCTATAAGCTATGATCCTTCTCAAGCAACCAAAACACCATGTATATCATTTGCATTCAATGATGGAATCACTTATTGTATAAGTAAAATTTATCTTCTAGTAATCAAGCTTGTTCATATATAAGAAAATCTTCTCTACAATCATTAAAAAAACTTATGGATAAAGATACTTGAGCATGATACTTAAACTTCTTAATTATCCATATACATTCAACTAGATAAGTTTTTTCTCCACTACTTATTTCCCTCTCTTATTTTATGAAAAACACAATAACACAACACTACAGGGATTGACATGTGGCTCTTAAAAGGGAAATGAACTCCCTTTTATCATAGAAAGCAAAAGATTTGATGAAAGATTGTTTTAGGTAATTTTGAATTTGCTAAAGATATTGTTTGCTAATCAAGTCTACTTGGTGGGTGAGGTATGAGAGGAAGATGTAAGTAAAATTGTAGGGTTTTACAGGTTTGTATATGTAGACACGTCATGGGATTAAAGGAGAGTGCCCCTGGATGTGAATGTTTGGTTTAAGTTTGGCAAGTGTTTTTTGATTTTTTTTTTTTATGATACACTAGTTCTCTCTTCAAGCACCATGCGTCGAACTCCAATGTTTTGCAAATTTGTGATCTTTATGGAGGGAAATTAGTAATGTAATAAGAGCATTCGTTTGTCAAGAGTACATAGGTTACTAAGGATTTAAGTGTCTCTTTGTCATGTGCAAGCATCTTCATCTATAAGTTTCCAAATTGATTGTAGAGTGAGACTTTCTTACATGGGAAAAGACTTAATTGCTTGAGGATAAACTTTGCTTATACAAAAAGTGATTTCACCATTGAATGCTAATGACTTAAAGGGTTTTTAGGATCCTTTGGAAGGATGACAACTTGAAAATAGAGATAAAAACAATGTTCTCTTAGTGTTATTTTATTAAAAGGAATCCCTAAATATATAAAGGAATTAATACGTACAAAGAAACCCACAAAATTAGTACACAATCATTCGAGGAACAAATAAAAAATAAAAAATTTAAATCCCAACAAATCAGGAAATTGATCCTTGATTTGATACATAATTTGTCAACACTCCCCCTTAAGCTGGAGAATAGATATTTATCATTTTCAGCTTGTCAATAAGACTCTCAAAGCTTGGTTTATGTAGTCCTTTTGTTGGGATATCTACTACTTGTTGCTTTGTAGGAACATAGGTCATACAGATTACTCCCATATTAATCTTCTCTTTATAAAATGCCTATCAATTTCCATATGCTTTGTTTGATCATAATGCATTGGATTATGAGCAATACTTATGGCAGCCTTGTTATCACAATACAGTTTCTTAGAGTATTCAGCTATCATGTTCAATTTTCCCAAAAGTCTCTTTAGCCAGATAAGTTCGCAAGCTCCTTGTGCAAGAGCTCTAAGTTCTGCTTCTGCACTACTTCGAGTAACAACAGATTGTTTCTTACTTCTCCACGTGCCAAGATTACCCTAAACCTTCATACAATACCCAAAGGCGGATTTTAGTCTTCAATTGATCCTGCCCAATCTGCATCTGTAAATGCTTTCACATTTTTTTGTTCATTATTCTCAAACAATAAAACCCTTACTAGGTGTAGCCCTCAAATACCTTAAGATTCGATACATAGCTTCAAAATACTCCTCAAATGGAGAGTGCATGTACTGACTTAATACACTAACCGTAAAAGCAATATCAAGTCTTATATGAGACAAGTGGATCAGCTTTCCAACCACTTGTTTATATCTTCCCCTATCTACTGAAATTCCTCCTTTCTTTCCAAGCTTCACATTGGGATCTATCGGTGTATCAGCTGGTTTATAGCCAAGCATACCAATTTCCTTTAAGAGATCAACCATATATTTCTTTTGGGAAACAATCATGCCTTTCTAACTCCTTGCTCCATCCCTAAAATGTATTTTAGTTGTCCAAGATCCTTAAGTTCAAATTCTTTTCCATGAGTCTTCTTTAGCCTTTCTGTTTCTTTAGTGTCATCACATGTTAATATAATATCATCAACAGAAACGATCAAAATAATCTTTTTTCCATTTTGTCAGTGATTGAAAAAAGGAGTATGATTAGTTTGTCCTTGGGTAACTCCATGTCTTTTTATTGACTTTGCAAAGTGATCAAACCAAGCCTTTGGTGATTGTTTTAAACCATAGAGAGACTTTTTCAGTTTGCGTACCTTCCTATCATTGTTTCCTCTTTCAAAGCTAGGAGTCAAATTCATATAAACTTCTTCATCCAGCTCCCCATTAAGAAAGGCATTCTTGACATTCATTTGGTGTAATGGCTGGTCAAGATTAACAGCTAGTGAAAGCAGTACCCTTATTGTATTCAATTTAACAAATAGAGCAAAGATTTAAGTGTAGTCTACTCCAAAAGTTTGAGTAAATCCCTTCGCAACTAAGCAAGCATTGTGTTTCTCTATTCCGCCATCTGAATTATACTTAATAGTAAACACCCACTTAAATCCAACTAGTGTTTTTCCTCTAGGCAACTCCACAACATCCCAAGTCTCACTTCATTTCAATGCTCTCATCTCTTCAAGTACAACAGCTTCCCATTCTGGGATTTTTAGAGTTTCATGAATATTTTGTGAGATTTTAGTTACCTCAATCTTTTCTATCATGGCATGAAATGCAGTAGACAAACGATTGTAGGATAGATAATTGGACAACAGGTGTTGAGTGCATGATCTTACTCCTTTCCTGACTGCTATAGGTATGTCTAGATTGTTAGGTGGAGTGCCCACTAGTAATAGTGTGGCATGCACAATCTTTTCTAATTCAAAATTTACTTGTGGATGGGTATTCATTGGTGATGGTGTTGTA